ACTAAACTAATCACAATAATCCACATGCTTTACCATAGGTGATTACTTATGTGACAAAACGAAAATGAGAAGAATCTAAGATAAGTGAAAAAAATGAAAGGGTATATTATAAACCGAGTAAAAATGATCTTATAGAGCAGCAAAACATACCAAAAAGTCTCGTAAAATTGAATTTCAAAAAAATAAACATTTGTTTAAAGTTATCCCACAAACTAAGAGAAGAAAATTATGAAATTCATACCTTTTCAAAAAGATCAACATCTTCTAGTCCCCAACCTTCAATTTTTGTATCAAATCCACCAATTGAAATCAAGTCGGCCTTAATACAATACAATCAAATAAACTATACAATCATTATTGAATGCTCTGCTTCTGATGGAATTTCTTAAAAGATTTTTAATGCTAAAATACCTTGTAGAGTGCTGCAAGGCCATAACCAAAATGTCTAAAATACCCTCTTCTTCTACCATAATGGAATGCATCGGCGAGCAAGCGATCATTCTCTGACCAACTTTCAGGTGAAAATTCCGAAAACACAATAGGGAAGTAGACCTAAACAAAATTTCACTTGTAAAACGACTTCAGCGCCTATTTTCCTGTCATTCACCTGCGCGCTGAGGATCGTGTTCAGCCTAATTCGATGAAGAGCGTCACATGTGAACAGCATGTCAACGTCAGTGAAGAACATCAGTCCATCAGCAGAAACACGCTCTGCACCTTTCATCAGAGCTACTCCTCTGCTAAATGGCGCATCGTCCATTTCGATTACTTCGACTCGAACGAAACTTTGGCGTAGTTCTTCAATTGTCGCTCTAAAGTGCACTGAGTGAGTATCAGCTAACGTTACAATGACTTGGTAAAAAATAAAACGATCTCTCTAATGATGAAAGGACGAATTTCTTTGAAAATTACCGATTAGCACCCTCATCTTCACTGGCGTACAATACAACTACAAGCGAGATATCACCAGCCCGAGCACAGATATTCTTAAGATGGCCCG